CATCCATCCATCCATCCACCCATCTACCCATCCATGCATCCATCCATCTGTGCATGCATCCATCCATACGTCCATACAATTATCCATGTATCCATACATCTATCCATCCATCTGCACCTTCCTTTGTCTTTCCATGTCTTTTGCCTATTTTGTAGTTGTCTGATCAGTCATTTTTTTCTTGTGGAGGCCCTTCAGGATTCTGTAAACTTTTGATATGAAACCCTTGTCTGAAATGGCATTGCCAAATGTTTTTCCCCAGTCAGTAGTTTTTCTTTTCACTGTTGGGAAAAGTGTTTGATGTGCACAGGGATTTATTCTTTAGAAGGTCCCACTCATCAGTTTTATCCTCTCCAGACTGAGCGTTTCTGGCTGTATTTGGAAGTCTCTTTATACCATAGACTAGGCCATGTAAGACGATTCCAGCTTGTCTCTGATGAACTTTATGGTTTGGGCAAAGGGATACCATTGTTAATGTCAAATGGAACTTGGTTAAAGCAGAGGATGCTGCTGCTGATTGCTTTCGAGTCGAGCACGACTCATCGCGACACTATGAACAAAAGGCCTGAAGCCCCTCTACAACTATCGACATTTATCAAAGCTCACAGAGTTTCCGGAGGCAGGTTGTTTAGGAAGTGGGTGCTACTCCTGCTTCCAGAATAATCTATGAGTAGATTCATATATCGTAGATCAACAGATCATATGAATAGGCATTCCTCAGCAAATGAGACTCGACTCAGGACCATATAGATTTGGCAGTTGGTTGTTTCTGCATGTCCTGTGAGTGCTGTGAACAGATCTATGCATATGGTGGAGCAAACGGGGCACCAGATGAAGACTTCTCCACCACAACCAAACACCCTGAGGGGATGAGTTCTGGGCCAGGAGCTCAAAGCCATAGTCTCTAGGGACATTAAGATCAAATGGTGAAACACAGTCTACAAAGGCAATGTGCTCCACCCTCCTTTGATGAAGCCACTGGAGTCTTCTAAGACTCCATCTAAGTCTTAAATAGCCATCGAAGGTGCAATGACAGGTCTCTTCCCATCTGGAGCGGAGGACTATTTAAATGACTGGTGCATTATGTGAATATCACTCTCCACAACTCTTAAGATGAAAAGATGGTACCTCTGCTGACCGCTCCAAAAGGGATCACGAGAGAAGGCCCCAAAGAATACTAAGAAAAGTTTCCTTGAGTTTTATTGACTATGAAAAGGCATTTGACTGTGTGGATCATAACAAATTATGAGTAGCATTGAAAAGAATGGGAATCCCAGAACATTTAATTGTGCTTGAGCGAAAACTCCACCGAGAACCTGTTGTCTGAAAGAAGAGAGGACACTGCTTGGTTTAAACCCAGGAAGGGTGTGTCAGGGTGTACCCTTTCTCCATACCTATTCAATCTGAAAGCTGAGCAAATAATTCAAGAAGCTGGGCTTGAAGAAGGACGTGGCACCAAGATTGCAGGGAGCCTCATCAACGGTGCTGGGCAGATGGCACAATCTCACTTACAGAAAGGGAAGAAGACTTGAAGCACTTATTGTTGAAGATCAAAAGTTCAATATGGGTTACTTCTCAGTAACAAGAAAACAAAACTCCTCATCAATGGAATCAATAGGCAACATCACGATAGATGAAGAAAAGATTAAAGCTTTCAATAATTCCACAATCAACACCCACAGTAATTACAATCAAGAGAGCAAAAGACATGTTGCACTGGAATATCTGACGTCAAAGATCTCGCCGATGTATTACAGGGCAAAGATGTCATTCTAAGGAGTGAGATGTGCCTGATTCAAGTCATGATATTTTCAACTGCTTCAAATACATCTGAATGTTGGACAATGAATAAGGAACATCACAGGATAAGTGATGCCTCTGAATTGTGGTGTTGGTTAAAAGTACTGAAAATATCACAGTCTACTAAAAGAACAAACAGATCTGTCTTGGAGGCAATGCAACTCAGGTGCTTCTTAGAGGCAAAAATAGTGACTTATCATGTCACATGCTTTGGAAATGCTGTCAGATAGGAAAGATGCACCATGCTGAGAAAGGTAGATCGTCAGCAAAAGAAGATCCTCGAAGAAATGGATTGACACAGTGACTGTAACCGTGTGAGCGTGGGGGAGACCTGCTGACGGGGCAGGTGTTGATCTGTTATTCACAGGGCGGTGGTGAGCCACAGCTGAACTGACGGAACCCGACGACCTCATCATCCATTCAACTATTCCACCTCCATCCTACAGCTGTCCACCCCTCCACCCAGCTGTCCACCCTCCACCCAGCT